GTACCAGATGATGGCTGATGCCACCGGCACTGTCACTCCACCAGCGTGTGTAGCTTCGTACGGGCTGTCGCCAGCTGAGTGCGGGTGGTTCGTAGTGCAGATCGTAGTCCGATACGGGAGTGCGGGGTGTGTTTGTGAGTGATCCTCTGTGCATTTTTGGCTGGAACTTACCCAGGAACAGATTTATGGCCCCTAAGGAAGGAGAAGGGGTGTGGGGGGGGGGAAATGGGGGTGAATGAATGTACTGTTAATAATAAACGTTTTCACAAACACTAATGTGTGTTGCGGTGCACAATTGGTACGATGTGATGTTTATTACAACGTTCGTGGAGACTGTATTAATACATCACGCTCATACTGTCTTCACGTTACCCATGTGTAAATTGAAAGCACTATATTCGCATAGGCCCTTCACACGGCAATCCATACACAAACCAGGTACACATCTACAGCACACACCTTGCTTATGCTCGTCGTTGAATGCGTTGCTCAGGTATCGTTGGGCTGCCGCAGCCTTATCTCTGAGCCTGCTTCTGCTAGTCTTGCGGTATGTTTCCATAGTATTGACCAGGTTAGATCCTCCGTATTGGGTGGCGATGGCATCTCCGTGTTCCTCGTACATTTTCTCGAACACTCTGCAGCGTATTGGGTTTGAGGTTTAAGTTTTAAAGTTCAGGGTTTGGAGGTCAAACATGACGGTGCCGAACATCAACGTGACATACAGGTACTCAAGGTAGACATAATTGGGAACAAACCAATATCCCCTACATACCAACACATAGTGATATACATATAAGCCCGACATGTATTGTGTCTGAAAGTGCTACTGTGTATATGTTAGGCGTAGGCACCCAGATGTTGTATGGATGGCGTAACAGAATTTAAGGTGAAGCGACAGTACACCACAGTCGTGTAGAACTGAACAACTGGCCACTCAAGGACAGTCGAATTCGCAAACTCGATTATGGATACAGGTGAATACATACCAAAGATAGTCACTGGCAAAGTTGGGTGTACAGGCCTTAACCAGACGTATAGCTGAGAGTAATCATAAACCTACATGTGCATACATACGACAGATAGACACTGGCAAAGGTTAGGTGTACAGACCGTAACCAGACGTATAGCCGAGAGTAGTCATAAACCTACATGTGCACACATACAACAGATAGGCACTGGCAAAGGTTGGGTGTACAGACCGTAACCAGACGTATAGCCGAGAGTAGTCATAAACCTACATGTGCACACATACAACAGATAGGCACTGGCAAAGGTTGGGCGTACAGGCCTTAGCTATACATATAGCTGAGAGTAATCATAAACCTGCCCGTGTATGGGGCGTATGCATGCGAAGATGTATAGCACTCGTGTCTGTATACATATGTATACATGTTCTATACCATTCATAGCGTACACATATGTACATCATTTATCATACCTGACACAGTCGCTGGAGAACGACAACTGTGTGTCCGGTATCAGGCCCAGCACATACAGCTGGTTAGCAAACATCTCCCGCCCAATCATGAAGCATGCGGCATTGGTCCGATCCAGACAGTCAATACAGTTCACGCGTAGCACACCCAGTTGCTTGCGCCCTATGGAGTGTTCTGAGTAGTCCCGTCCGCCTATCTGATCCGTCTGTGTGGCGACGGTGGGGCCCGAGTGGAAGAAGCCGGTGATAGACAGACACCGCTTGGCTATCAGGCCCAGCTCGTCGATCACGTTCTCGTGCTTACTACGGGGAATGTAGGTATGATTGGTGCATATATGTAGGTATGATTGGTACGTATATGTAGGTATGATTGGTGCCTATATGTAGGTATGATTGATCCGTATGTGTGAGGGTCCAACGAACGGCAGGTCTATGACATGTGTGGGTTGAGCTTAGAAAGGAGGATTGCATCCTCACTCTTTCCCAGACAGTTAACTGGGTTGTACGTCTATGCGAGCTGATGCACCTCACAGCAGCCATCGCCGCGTCAACGGGAATGAACAGGAGCGATATGGACTACAACAGCAATGAAGTAGTACTAACGATGACAGACCAGTCTACAAAACAAAGCTAGCGTAGGTGCCAGAGATGGTGTGCTGTGCAGGATGGCTTCATGGGCGGACGTTCCTTTCGGGCTTCTAGGCCACGCCCAAGGGGATACATATAATCGAAACTAATCAAACCAACAGATGCAAAAGTAAACAGTCACATACTGTTCCAAAAAACGAGATTAAACCAGAACTGGAAACGAAACGAATGCACAGTCCGTGTGTTGAGCTCGGCGGGCGGGTGGACGTACCTTTTGGCGCTCTTGGCCATGTCAAAGGGTATGTAGATTACCTTATCTTCTTCTGACGGAAACTGGTTGAGGTATTGGATGGTGGAGCCAAACTCGTGGAACAGTTTGCTCTCCCGCGCTTTCGTTTCCTTTTGCTGTTGGTCCGAGCGGAAATTATTTGGCGGAGGGTCAGATGTATGTCATGCGTATGTATGTAGGTATAGTCATGTAGGTATGGTCATGTAGGTATAGTCATGTAGGTATAGTCATGTATGTATAGTCACGCAGGTATAGTCATGTAGGTATAGTCATGTAGGTAAAGTCACGTAGATATAGTCACGCAGGTATTGTCATATAGGTATAGTCATGTATGTCTAGTCATGTAGATACAGTCACTTAGGTATATACATGTAGGGTTAGTCATGTAGGTATAGTTTTGTAGGTATATTCGTGTATCTACGCATTGACTATAAAATCCCAGGGCCGAATTGGAAGTACTTACACTGTGCGTTGAATACACCGGCACTTCAAGCGATTGTATTTATGCTACAATTACCATAACTTGGTCAGGACAGGACACTTGAAAACAGTCTTAAAACTACATCCACTTTAATTATAATACACTTTCGGTACACTTTGGACTGTATTTATGTTCTATTCACCTTAACTTAGTACAGAAAATGACACTTGAAACTGTATCTAATCCTACAACTAGCTTAATTATAATAGAGTTCAGCTACACTATAACCTGAACTTATGTTTCATTTACCTTGACTAAGTTCAGTACAACACAGGGATTTCCAAAGCGCCGCCTCATACTGTCGAAGTGGATGGCCGCGGCGGTGGCAAACGGATCCACCCGGTCCACTGTGTAAGTACAACACAATGATATAGTACTTACTTATTGTAAAAGCATGTACAAAAGGGGATAACAACTGGTATGTACATGATAAGTTTGGTGATAAAAGTGTGTGTGGTTTTATATAGGCAGTTGACAGGCGACTGATTGCAAATAAGTACACTACTACGATAGATATCAATATATATATATATATATATAATATATATATATATATATAATATATATATATATATATATGTGTGTGTGTGTGTGTGTGTGTGTGTGTGGAAAAGTAGCGTGAAACATATACGCTTATGTATATATATGAGTGGGTCCAATATCGTATAGATGTTTTTATATAGGAAGTCGACATTCATCAAGTATACTTGCAATGTGTATTTGTAGGATTTAGTATTAACCAGCACAGAACTATATTAGTTACGTGTGTGTTTCTATGAATCCGATATCCCATCAGATACCTATACAGCTACAACACGTGTACTGGAATTTTGTTGAACATACCGGTAATACCAGGTTTTGGAGCATATTTTGAGGACATCTCTCGGTCCGTTTGCGACCAGAACGCTGGAATAGACCCCCGCATCTGCACAAAGCTTGTATACCTGCCGTTGTGGTGTATACTAAGGTTTATATATACATATACAAATACATATACATATTTATATATATATATGTATATATATATATATATCCATATATATATATGTATAAATACACAAGTGCCTACATAATCCAGAATCTCTCACAATTCACTCTTACCCGAATCAAGGCTATCAACAGAATACCTACCTGCCGTTGTCATGAGAACTGGTGGTGGCCTGCCACACAATCTGTTCACTCTCCACATGATTAGCCACGTGACCCTTCTCATTGGCGCCGCGTTTCAGAAACCGCGCACCCGCAAAGTGACGCGAACGCCGAGCGATCAGCAGAAACGATACCAAACGCCCCATAATGTTCAGTTGCGCCTGCAGATAATAGGTGCGTGATGGCAATGAATTGGTGGGCAATTATTCAGCAAATAATAGGCTTGCGATGGTTGTGTATTAGTTTACAACTAATAGGCTTGCGATGGTTGTGTATTAGTTTGCAACTAATAGGCTTGCGATGGGAGTGTATTAGTTTGCAACTAATAGGCTTGCGATGGTTGTGTATTAGTTTGCAACTAATAGGCTTGCGATGGTTGTGTATTAGTTTGCAACTAATAGGCTTGCAATGGTTGTGTATTAGTTTGCAACTAATAGGCTTGCGATGGTTGTGTATTAGTTTGCAACTAATGGGCTTGCGATGGTTGTGTATTAGTTTGCAACTACGAGGCTTGCGAGTGTTGTGTATTATTGAGCAACTAGTGGACACCTAGTGGAGACCATGAACAACGGTCCTTTCCGAGTGCACCGCGTCATCATATTTGGGCATTGGTTGATTGACCTGCACCCCGTGCCATTGATATTAATAAGACCTAACGGACATGATGTGCAGTTGTGCCAGCAGTTTAATAGTAGCTTGTGGTTGGTTTGCAAGAGAGAGCAATTAGTGGGCAAATAGTGGGCGAGTAGTGGGCAATTAGTTTGAGGGTTTAGGGTTTAAGTAAAACCGCTGCCTCACACGTGCCTACTTTAAGAGGTATGCAATGACAGCAACGCAATAGAACAATAATCCAGATGAAGTGCAACTGGACTATTATACACTCAACCTGTAAAACCCTAAACCCTAAACATCACAGGGTGGCACTGACCTGTGAAATGTACCCGTGCACCAGGGGCGTGATCCAGGCACGGTGACACACGGGTAGCATTTGTTCAAGCAGGAAGTGGTTCCAGGCAAACATCCCCATAAACGGAGGTGGCTCGTATTCAGGCACGGGCGGCTGCGACTGGGGCAAGTCACTCACCTGACAATGCACGAGTATGTGCAAATTAACGTGCAGATGGGTTTGATATGAAGTCATATACGGGAAGGTGAGGTGTTGATGAGAGGGTGAGGGTTTGTATTCAGATATTGTGTTTTAGACACATACACCCACAGAAATGGCGATGCTCGTATTCTGGAATGTATGGCTGGGCGTGGGACAAACCACTGACTTGTGGATGTAAGTGCGTGGCGAAAAATGCGGGTGTATGTGAAAAGCAGACAATGATACAATACTGTTGGCAGGTTGAAGTAAGTATGTAGGTGTAAACGAAAGGTAGTACGTATGTAGGTGGAAGTTTAAGGATATATGCCCATGATAAGTTCTATACACAAGTTGTTTTAGTTTGGTGTGTACACGAATTCGTATACGAACACGAAGATATACTAACTACCATATAGATATAATCCATTTGCAACACAGGCAATCTTCATTTGGATGATCAATCATATATGCACGCCCTTCTATCTTCACGCACACATTCCAATGCCACCCACATACCCTCACTGTCACAAAAGTAGGTCTCTCAGTGTGATAAACTATTACCGAGTGCACCAAATCCCTTCGCGGAGAGCGCAAACCTTTCTATGATACATATGAGTATAAATATCTTCGAGCCGCTATAAGAAAACACAGAGGCTACGAATCGTGTATCCATACACATACAATGAACCCACCCATATACTAACAGTCGACGAGTCAGATTGTCCACCACTGGTGGACTATAGTCGAGTGCATGCAGCCCCTTGGAGGAGTGGTAGACTAGTTACACTGGTATATAAGACTACATGTATCTGTAATCCTTAATGTACATATAAGTAGACACATGCCAATGTTCACATAATAATAAGCAACCGACTAATCAACAAACATACCCCCACTATTCCTAAACGGGTCAAGCAGTCGGGTGAACGATTCTCGAGCGCATGTAGGCCCTTTGCGGAGAGGTCAACAGCTACACTGATGCCTTTGCGGTTCTTAACGGAATGGATGTACAGATCAGACGATTCTAGTCCGAGGACGTCCGTGCACTTTACTAAGAAGGCTGCCACATTGAAGGAGCCTGTGTGCGTGTTACCAGAGCATGCATTCAATATA